CACCAGCACCACCAAGACCAGCCCCAGCTGTGAGACCGTCCTTTCCATAGGGAGATCCAACTCCCCCTGCACCAGCACCACCTATGCCTGCTCTAGCTGGGAGACTATCCTTTCCATGTGGAGATCTAATTCCCCCTGCACCAGCTACACCAGCACCAAAGCCTGCTCCAGCTGGAAGATCATCCTTTCCATAGGGAGATCCAACACCTCCAAACCCACCAACTGCAGCCCCACCAACCCCTGCTCCAGCAGGGAGACCATCCTTTTCATACAGAGACCCAACTCCCCCTGCACCAGCTACACCAACGCCTGCTCCAGCTGTGAGACCATCCTTTCCATAGGGAGACCCAACTCCCTCTGCACCAGCTACACCAGCACCACTGATGCCAGCCCCAGCTGGGAGACCATCCTTTTCAAACAGAGACCCAACTCCCCCTAAACCTGCAACACCTGCTGCAGCTGTGAGACCATCCTTTCCATAGGGAGATCCAACACCGCCAAAACCACCAACTGCAGCCCCACCAAACCCTGCTTCAGGTGTGAGACCATCCTTTCCATAGGGAGACCAAACTCCCCCTGCACCAGCTACACCAGCACCACCAAGACCAGCCCCAGCTGTGAGACCGTCCTTTCCATGGGGAGACCCAACTCCCCCTGCACCAGCACTACCAATGCCTGCTCCAGCTGGAAGACCATCCTTTCCATAGCGAGACACAAATCCCCCTGCACCAGCTACACCAGCATCACCAACACCTGCTCCAAGTGGCTGACCATCTGGATCATACAAAGCCTCCATTTCCCCTATAGAACTGTCACCTGCACCAGATATAGCCCCATCTCCAGCTGGAAGACCACCTGGGCCACACTGCAAGCCAGACCTTCCTGCCTGACCTAAATGACCACTAGCATGAATTGTCAGGCCATCCTTGCCATAGGGAGTCCCTTTTTGTCCCTCTCTGTTTATACTTGCTCCATTCATATCAACTACGGTCGGCAGACCATCCTTGCCATAGGGGGACCTCATTCCTCCTGCAATCTCTGTACCTGCAGCATTCTTTCTAGCTCCAGTCCCTGGACTAGTCCTACTGAGCAGATCACCCTTACCACCTCCCACTCCAGTTGAATCAGGATTGAGTCCATCTAACACAGAACTTCCATCACTAGCACCTAATCTCCCAACACCCCCAAAGCCATCTCTGTAACTAGTATCACCTAATTTACCATCCTTGTCAAGCTGAGAGCCCACACCTTCTCCATCATCCATGTCAATTTTAACAGCATCCAGCATACCATCATCTCTGCCATCCACAGAATACCATTCACCTTCTCCTCCTAATTCATCACCAGTATCTGCTCTCCCTGTCATAGAATCCTTGCCATGGAAAGGCCTTAATCCACTTTTGCCTCCTAAGCCTTTTAATCCAAAGCTAATACCATCATATGTCATTGAGTCTCCATCTAGGTCTGCTCCAGAAAACTGCCCAAACCCTGTCCTTCCGTTTCTGTGGGCTCCACGTAGCCTGTGTTTTCCTAAAAATCTATGGCTTCCATCAACATCAGTGGAGTGGCCCTCACTGCCACCTTGACCATTTCTGTACCAGCCATCTTCTTCCACACCAGTGTCCATAAGATGATCTTCATCACCAACATATTCTCTGCGTCGAAGTTTCTTAGCCCTGTCTTCATCTGGCAATGTTTCTTTCAGCCACTCAGATTTCTCTCTTTCACCTCCTTCACCCTGTCTCCTCTTTCCTTTGGCATCTGTATTGAAGATGCATTGTTTGATTGGAGGGGATATAATTTATAGGAAAAGAGAGGGGGAAAAAAAAAAGATAGACAATCAATAGGTCGTCTACTGCATCAACAACCAAAGAAAATGTGTTAGTATTTGTTATATTTTCATTCTAGGACACAGAAACATAATATATTTAAATAAATTTAAATTCAGTTGAAATCCTGAATTTTTTCAGTGTCACATTCAGACATAATTTTACATTTCTTAGTTAAAAATACAATTCTTTTTAGTGGAAACATGCTTATAAAAAACCAAACAAACCAAACCAAAAAAAGCAGAAAAACAAGGCAAATTTCCAGCATGATAGGTCTAAATTAGAGGGGCTTAGATTGTATTTGGGACTCATTAGTTCCTTCTGCCTTCTCCCTCCAGCCCTGGAGGAGTTACAGAATATCCCACGCACAGAGTGGCCATCAGTTCCCACCCTTGAATTAGGATCTCGCTGCTACTGAGGCAGCTTGCACATTTGGCATCCTGGCATTTTAGAGATGGCCAGCCTGAAGACTAAAGATTCCAGTTCTGTGAACAGCTTTGTATTAATCCAAAATTCAGGCTTTTCTGAGATAAACAGTGGAGCCAGCAGGCCACACACTGTTTTGAAACCAAAGCAACTACTTTCAGAAACAAAAAAATATAAGCCACTATTAATCTGCTTGCACTGAAAGGAGTGTTTCCCAGCTTCCCAGATTCCTCTGGGCTTCTTCTAACTTGTTTAACTCTAATTTCGAAAGAAAATACTACCTAACAAGATGCCCTTGAAAGCTCTTTGATCCCCTGTATGCTCTACTGTGTTCAGTGACAGCTTCATCAAAAACACATGTTGAGATATGGAGTATTTTTCGATAACTGATGGAGAACATGCTACTTCATGGTAGCTGTAGAGTAAATAAGCCAATAGGATTTGTCAGGACTAATAAAAAGGGAAAAATCTGTCTCATCTGAAGAGGAAAGAGGGTCTAACCAGACCTTCATTTTTCCAAATATAATTTAGGAACTAGAGGCTCCGCAATTCATTTCTCAGCACAGAATCATCCCAATGAGCAATCAGGCAGTGAGAGGAATATTATTTTGTTAACACACCTCAAGCCAACACCATGGGAATAATACAGTGTCACTTACACTCTACAATAAGCCAAGCATTTGAGGAGCAGAGTCCAGTGTCGAGTGTGTACATGCCGTTGTCAGAGGGCACAATGTTTTTGATAATCAGCTGGTGGGTCAGACCATCAGGTGTTACGGAGATCTGGTGCTTCTCACTTTCCTCGAGGAGGTGGGTTTTGTGTAGCCACACAGCATCGTAGCAGGGCGTGCGTAGGATACACTCAAAGACAGCATCTTCTTCCTCGGGACAACGCACATCACTGAGTAGCTGCTCAAATCTCACAGGGATGGCTGCAATGGAAAAATCAAAAGCTATAGAAAGGAAACAGAGAGCTATTTCTGTCTTCCAAGAAAAACTTGTTGCAGCTGAAGGACGAAAGAAAGACAGGAACTTGCCGTGCCTGTGAGCACTGGTTTAAGCAGAAAAAGGAAAAACTGAGATGTGCTCCTGTGCCCAATTCTACAGGACAGAAAAGCAGAAAAGTAGATTTTTGTCTTTATTATCTTCTGAGACATTTATACCACACATCACTGTGATGTGCTGATAATTAGTCGTCATTAATGTATTTCAGCAGCATGATACTTGTATCGAGTTGCTAGCTACTATTCTGAACTTACAAAAGGAAACTATAGCATGGGGTAAGTCAAGGAATTTGCTCGCTGTCATCCAGAACTCAGAGCCAAACTGGTACTTGAACCTAGTCCTTTGGACTACAAATGCAACACCCATATCACATAATCACCCTCCTGCTCTTTTTCACCTGTGTCATATAAGGAGCCCTTATTTGGGAAACACAAAACCAGTCTTCTATAGCTATCAGGTTTTACTGCTGAGCTTTGCATATGCTCCTAGATAAAATTTTCCAGCAAAAAATAATTTATTGTTACAGTTGCGCATCACATACATCTAACTCAATTCCTTACATTCAGCGTCCAGTTCAGTTGAGAAAACAGGTACATCCTTCACTTTGACTTGATACAAGCCTGCATCTTCCGGCTGCACGTCGTTGACAATGAAATTGTACCTTTTTCCAATTCGCCTCAGGCAGTGCTTTCTGTATTCACTCTCCATTCCATACCTGAGCCTCTTACCATCCTAAGGAAGAGAAAGAATATACTCTTAAAGGCAATGCACAATTAGTGCAAGGCATTTCAAACAAATTAGGCCAAAATTGTGCTAAGATCGCTTTATTGATATAAATGAGTAACAACAGAGAAGTCTATGCTCTGTTAGTACTTACAGTGGACAGCTGTAAGTGGACAGGGCTCATTGCTTATGTAACACACAGGCAATACTACGTGCAGTAAGTCCTGCACAGAACAGAGCATCAGACTCTGAAACTAGGCAAAACAACAGTACTTTGCTAGCTCACATAAGCTTTTGAAGCTTAACTAATACACAGTCACTGTAACTTCGAAGACAAAGTACTTTCTTTGCTTAGATTTTAGCATCCTTATAGATGGATAAGCAGGGGAGTTCACCACTTTCCTATCTGTAACACACTTGGGTTACTTTCTCCACGTGGTGGCTGCACAGATGTCATGTCATGCATTTGATTCAGAAGTTCATAGAGTTAGCCTGACCTCCTCTTTAATGAATTCTGATTTCCCCTGTATTAAAGCCACTAACCACAGTTTGACTGAAACACAGCTTCCAGAAAAACATCCACAGCACTGATCACCTGGGGATCACAGCAGAGTAACTACAGAACTAGATGGGATTTTTACTTCCTTGAGATCTTCTTTCACAGAAGCGAATTATAGTGGAATAACACACTTGAGAAAGTAAATAAAATCAGTCTGTTTTTCTTATATGAGACTGCAGAATTTCTGCAGCCTGAAAGACACTGTTAGAATTTCCTCTTACAGGAAGAGCTCTTGAAGTCAAAAGGATGTCAGTAACTAACTGTTTCCCCTGTACTTGGATCTACAAATCCCAAGTGATATTCACCACCAAAGACTACCTGGACCCCCATACCAACACTTCTCCCTAACCAGTCAAGGATTCTGCAATGGACAGACAACTTTAAGAAGCTTATTTACTCTCAGCCACTGCCCACCAGATCAAACATTTTATGTAGAAGACTTCAGTGGCTGCTGTGAGCTAGCCAACTCATCTCGCCCCCTCACCTTAAGCAGATAAACTTTGCTGTTACTGTTTTTCAGGTCCAACTCCAGACTGAACGTAGCTTTTCCCTCCTTGTTGACTTTGATGTGTTGAAAGTTTTTGACACTGTGTATTAACTGCAAAGAAAGATACAAGAACCTAGTAAATTATAAGGCTGCCACGACAGAAGTTCTTATGCTGTTGAACTAAGGTGAAATCTACTTTTTATCTGCATAGAAAAGAGCTACCTCTAACTTCATCTGTATAGAAGAAGCACCTGTAAGTTTCCACAGTTTCCTCCTGTAGGCAAATTATATTTTACGTGCTACCTCCTGGTCACTCACACACTATGCAACCACTATCCATCCAGGTTTCTACATGCCCCTGTATGTGAAGGCCAATTTTGACCCTCAGGCATATAACTTTTCAATTTGGGGTACAAATTCTCATCAGAGGCAACTGAATACAGAATTTAGCCATCTGGTTTAATAAAAGGATTACCCCAAGGTCAGTATCTCCTAAAATTTATGAAGTGAACTTCAAAAAAGTCAATAGCATTTTCATCTGCATGAGTATACAATTAGGATTTCTTTAAAACATTGTCATAAATCTTTCTCTGTCATACAATAAAATTTTCATCTACAAAGCAATTTAGGAAGGTTTAGCCTGTTTTCAGAAGCTACTGAGGAACTGTAGGACTCTGCAGTTTGTTAAAAACCAATGCTTTCAGTCATTTCAGTTTATTTTACCTCTCCTTGTTCACTCTCTGTGTCCTTCCTCATCTCCTGCAGCTTTCTCAGCATCCCACGGAAGTCAACAATTCCATATTTCATACAGATTTTCTCATAATCTCTCCTATCTGCATGCAGCAACAGTTGCCAGACTGCTTCTTTGTCCAAGAGTTTTGGTCTTGGTGCTGGGGCCCTTAGAACCAGGGGAAAAAAAATCTAGACATTTTGACAGACAACAAGATGTCTTGTTTTTCTATACTTAATCCTCTTTCATCTCTCCACCATTTCTGCAGTTCACTTGGCCCTGTAGATGTAGACAAGAAAGACTGGGACTCTTCCAGAACAGGTTTTCTACATCTATACAACAAATTAAATGCTGCCAGGGAACAAGGAACAACTGTAATGCAGTTGTCCACACTGTTAAATTATCAGCAGAGTTGCGGGCACAGTTTGGCCCAGGCCAACTTGCACTCTCCAAAGTAATTGCTCAGCACAGTTCAGGACTTTGCACAGGGCAGAGATCATTCCCATTAGGCAATCTTTGGACGTTCCCACCTGGGAAGTGAAGGGATTTCAGCAATGTGCACATGGCAGTCTGTGCAGTTGGCCTGGGAGCCAGGGCTCAGTCCCTGATTAGCCAGAAAGATCATTACATGGAGACTTGTCACTTAGCCAGGAAGTTACTTGTGAGCTAAAAACAGGAAAGCAGAGAAACAGATCTTTTAAGTCAAAATCTTGTGGTGCAAAGGAACATACACCTCAAAATGAGGTTGGTACCTTGTGTTTATCTCAGCCTCACAGACAGTGGCAAACTGTTCTGTTACGTCTCTCCACATTGAGTCTCGCAACAACTTTGGAAACAAGGAAGTGTTGCCTTGAAGATCTATGAAGCTGTGCCCTATCATCAAGAAACATCTAGGAAGTGTAACAATGGCCTTCATTACAGAGCCTTACCGCTTCCTCAGCAGCTTCCTGAAGTCCTGAAGCTGCTTCTTTAACTCTATTAAAGAGGGGGAAACAACAAAGATTCAGATACCCAGCACTGTAAAATATATCCCCAAAAAGAAGATAATGCAAAATAGCCACTGACAACAGGCCATTCTACTACGCTGTTTACCTCTGGTGATATTTCCACACTTTACAAAAAAACTGTCATGAAACTTAGAGCCAGTTTTCTCTGCCATAATCATATCCTTTGAGTGCCATTGAAGTTCATCGCTTCCTAGGGGGCTTTCCTCTCTTTCTAGAGAGGACACTCTAGAAACCCACTATTTTCCAGCCATGTTTACATGTTTGATCCAGCTGTATTTGACATCACAAAATCCTTTTCTAGCACTAATGATTCCAGAATCATTAATTAGAACAGCTCAAGGCCATGTCTAAGATCATCACTTTACCCAAAGGTAAATAGCAAGTAGAAAGAGATGTCAGAACATTAGAGATTCATTGACCCCTCTTTCTTACTTTATTCTTTACAAGCAGTAATAATGATTCCAGAATCATTAATTAGAACAGCTCAAGGCCATGTCTAAGATCATCACTTTAAAAGGTAAATAATAGCAAGTAGAAAGAGATGACAGAACATTAGAGATTCATTGACCCCTCTCTTACTTTATTCTTTACAAGTTTGGGGCAGTAATAATGCAGTAATACAGAGGAATATTAACTATCCCCCCCCCCAAAAAAAAAAAATCTACCTCTAACTTACCATCAGCAGGATGAACAGGAATATATTTCGCTTTCCTTTTAAAGCCAACTGATAGTTCATAAGAGAAAACAGAGGAAAAACAAGCCATGAGATGAACAAGATAACACTCAGACTAACACCAGTAAACCGATGAACTATAAAACCTCTGCATCTGTTACCAATGCAAGACGAAATCCTAGTTTGGATTTCCTTGTCAATCTGACATTGACTCCTAGTAATCTCCATCTATAAATGCAATATTTCTATTGCAATCGACTCTGTGCTTACTGGATACTCTACACAGTGGAGGAGACCATTTCTGCCCTATGAAGCTCACGGTTTAAGCAATGGTAGGAAATATTAACATCTTGTTTTAGAGATGGGGAGCCAAGGTGCAATGATTATCTCGCCAAATGCAGATAGTTGCCTTCTAAACTTACTCTACAGGCACACAGGTGAAATGGATGCTTCCAATATCATCCACTTCCTGCTCAAGTAGATTCCAAGAATAGGTCAGTTATATTTTACCCACCAAGTACCCATTTCTCTCCACTGACTATAAAGGGAACCAGGGGACTCAGTCAGGTGGACACCATAGACATCTGAAGTGAAGTGAGATGAATCCCTCCCAAAAGACTGATTCATCCAACATAATGAAGAAAGGATTGAGCCAATTCAACACTAAATCCAGAGCTTCTGATTATGGTCCAGTGCAGTGACCACAATACCACTTTCTTCTCCCTTGCCTTAAAGCTCAGACTGTCATGGAACCACCAAAGTGGGGGGAGTCACGGAAGACCTCCAGTCCTCAGTGAGTGGAAAACTAGACATTCACACCAAGGATACTTAGATAATGCTCTGGGCACCCACCCCTAGAGGACAGCAAAGCCAGCTACTTGGGACCACAGGACCTTCGGAGCACATAACCTGTCAGTCCTACCTTGTATGATCCTGAGGCCAGCAGAGCATGCAGCTTCCCCATATTCATTCACAGCAAAGCAACGATACAGATCACTGTCATCTGTAGTGAGTCTGTTTATCTTAAAAAGAAGAACATAGTAAGAGCTCACAGGGATGTGCTGTGGTTCAGTTCACACACCTTCAGCGTCTAATAAAACAGCTACTCAATGATATCTCAGATCTTTCTTCTGTTCCCAGAATGACTCTAAAAAGCTTTGTTTGCTTATCTTTGCGCTATCTCAGATCTGGTGACATCTAGGTCAGCCCACTGCAGGTTTTTCCTTTCCACCGCCCTCTCTGTTCCATGAGTCCTCTCTGAAATATTTGATCTTTACCTGCAGAATGAATTCATTTGTAACGTTATTGAAGAATGTTTCGTATTTGGCAGGATCATCCATTCCTCCTTGTAAACGTGTCCATTTCACATCAGGGGTTGGGACACCTTTGACCACAGCTCTGAAAATGGCATTTTTACCTTTGAAAAGAGGCAAGAAATTAGTTCTTTAAGACAGGCTTGAACATGAGGACTCTCATGCCAGGCCCCTTATGTTATCAATAGAGTGATCCCCAGAGTGAGCCACCTCTGTTGTTTTAGGCAGAAACATTCTTTGAAAATAATTATATCTTTTTGTTTTCTCTGTAAAAGATGCCTAAATTACCAGTTTAAGTTGCATTAAATGCCCAAATTCATGCAAGACATTTGCCATAATCTCCACTCTAGCTCAGTGGCTTTCAAAGAGATTACTTGAAAACTAACTTCAAAATTCACCACTGACACATTTGGTCCCTGCCTGTGTTTTTATTGCACAGCCATGTGGATGGAGAAATTACATACCCAAGAGAGCAATTTTTTGGCATCTTGGTCTGATTTTGAACTCCCTCAATATTTGGGCAGGGCCAAAGAGCAAGCAGTTATTAGCTCAAGTCCAGGCTGGGCTACCTTTCCCCATGCCACAAATGTCAGGGTTTGCCTGTATTCAATCATAAAAGGCCTTTAAAATGTGGTGCTAGCCTGCCAGACATGACTGCTAACATCTCCGATCATCTCTGAAGTAAATGGTGCTATAGCAAGTTCCTCCTAGACTTGCTTCTGGCAACATGAAATGCCCAAATCCATTCTCATCATCACATACAAATTCCCCTACAAGTTCCCATTGCGTCTCCATTCTTTCAGGCTATTCCCTTTGTTGCGACCATGCTGGGCAGGACGTTAAATAACATGGGACTCACTGTGTTGGAGTCTCCTATCTCTAGACATCAGTAAAGTTCGTCTGTGAATAGTTGCAGCTCCTGCTCTCTTTTTCATTTGGATAAATTTGGATTCCTTAGGAGGTGGAAACAAGAAGATACCCCCTCTGCACACTTCAGAAAACACGTTCTTAACAGACAACACTGTACCACAACTGGGAGGACCCATGCAGGGTAGGGTGTTTCCCTACATGTACTCCCTACATGTCATCTTTCTGCAATATCTTCCTTGTCTGCTAGCCTGGCACCACCTTGCACTCCAAACACACCAGGCTCTGCTATTCAAAGAGGCAAGGAAGGGAGAAGAGGATGGGGTTTACCTGTGAGCTTTGTCCTTCATCTCTTCTCCCCTAAGAACCTGAGTATACTGCAGCTGCCCACAGAAATCTCCAACAGCTTTACCACTGCCTAGTACAAACCTTTTCTTTTTCTTCCAAAAGGCTTCAAAGTCATAGGAAACACTATGAAACAACACATCAGAGAAGTGACTCATGTAAGTAAGTGGGAGTGTCACAGGGAAATAGAAATGGAGATGAGTTATCCATGGATGTAGCTCAGGGCGGAAATGATTACTATCTTTCTTTTGCAATAGTTTTGGTCTTCAGGTGACCAACACTGTTAAAAATTCTCCCCAGAGAGTCTTGCAGTATTTTCCACACCCTTCTGCAGTCACCACCAAAGAACTTATTTGGTGCAGCAAGCTCCTGCCAACAGATTCTTATCAAAAGGCATCTTCCAACTTTTTCTGAGATTGCAGTACTATCTATTATTAAAGTCTGTTTCCAGTTGATTATTCCTTTGTCAAATTTTGGCCATTCTGGCTGCAATTTCCCATGCTTGCCATCTGTCACAGGACACAGCTCCACAGCTAGGAGTATCAGCTAATCCATGCACTGAATGCAATGGGGCAATGATGATATAATTAAAGACACTCATCGTGCATCTGCATAGGCACTGATTTCAGTTTACACAGTGACCAGCCTGAATGCCCTAACATTTTGTATATGAACTACGAGGAACCTACTGGAAATGAAATAACTTGGAAAATTTAGACAGGGTGACCGACCACCGCCTTGGTTCATGCCTGAAACTTGCAGGTGGAAGGAAGGTGGAGGAGGAGGAGGGATGCACCACTAGAGGCCACTGTGCTCCTTTGTAAAATCTCAACGGCTCGTGCAAATCAACAGAAGGGTGTGACAACACTGAAATCCAGGGTGCTAGAAACGGTTCAGTCTTGTGAGGGAAGAGGAGCTACACGGTCTCCTCAGGTTATCCCACTCCAAAAAAAAAAATATATATACGACTGTCTGCAAGTGCAGAGAGCTTACTGTTAGGTTTCCCATTGATTTTAGGTCTCGGCTCATTAGCTGCCTTCTCTGTACTCTGCAAGATCCATATTGCTTCTTGAAGGGGAAGCACAGCCTAAATAGCATCTGCAGTCAGTATATCTTACTTTAAAAAAGCAGTTAATTTTAGTGCTGAACACTCACAATACAAGTTAGTTCAACAGGAAAAGAAAACTTTTTCAACGTGCTTAATCTTTCGCTGCAAAATACTTACTTTGAGAGCCTCCTACAGAATTCACAGCATTTGTTGTATACATTAGGAGCCAGATTTTGATCTTGCATACACTAGTGAAAACTCAGGAGACCTCTATCAGTACTGATGGAATTTTCATCAGTACAACAAAGACTTTGGCCACAAAACACTTTTTCTGGTCTAGTCAAATCTCTTTAGAAACTAGCTTGATTTAATTCCGATAATTGTTTCATGTAGGTGAGACGTGGAGTCAAGCCTCCAGGTCTGTGGCTTTGACTGTTTTTCAAGAATCTCACCTTCCTGCAATGTCAGAGTGACAGGTTTCCGCTCAAAGTCAGGTGTACTGCATCCTTCTGGAATATCATCCACAAACTGGGTGATGACAACTCCTGGGACAGAAGATTTCTTGAAGGATTTTACTAGAAAGACAAGGAAAAATACATTCCATTAAGACAACATGTTTGTCCTTTAGAAACAATCTCTCAATCTGCATTGCCTCTCTGTAGAACAGTAATTGTTCCTGCTCAGCTCCTCTTGGACTATAAAGGACCCATCCATTCTAGTACTACAGGCTGTAAGTGTGTCCAAAGGCTGGAGCATTAAGGTCTGTGGTTTTGTGCTGACTTATTGCAAAGCTAGGGCCCGAGTGGGAAAATCTGCAATCAAGATCACAACCCAGGGCCATGTCGGCTTACAGGTCTAGCGATGATTTGGATAGAGAATGCTTTTACATCAGTTATTGTTCAAAATAAAACTTCAAAATCTGGCATGAGAAAGACACTATTGCAAAGGTCAGCAGAACCTGATGGGTCAGTTACTGGTGTGTCTCCTTGTGGTGGTGAGAGACAGATACGTAACTGCCAAACAAGAAAAACAAGTTGGGCTTATTCTCAGGGGTACGCCAGATAGTTTTCATAGCTGTGTCTGTTCTCTCACCTGCCTGATGGCTTGTCATGATGCTTTTCTCAGCTGCCTATGGTCAGCACAAACAGACTACAGGTTCTCCTGTGAAAAAGACAAATAATTTAATTATTTATAGTTCACAAGGGAAATGACAGACCTTAATACTGCTCACTTGTATGACGCAGTTTGCCCTTCCTCACTTGCCACATCCCAGCAGACAAGTTGATCAACACATCATGACATGTCTTTCCAAAACACATCATGACAGTTTTGAACCAACACAAACCAGGTACGAAAATGGCTAGCAGGGCTAAATGGAAAATGTACACATCTCACAGCATCCCTCCGTCACCTCTTCCATTTCCATGTCATCTGGCTTTCCTTCAAAAACCTCCTCTCGTGTTTCAGGCAAATATTACACCACATGGCACTCACGCGGTGAGTTCTGATGGATGGCAAGAACAGTTGCTGAGAAGAAAGCCACAGAGATGGATGTCTAAACTGGGGCATGAAGCAGAAGCACATCCTGATCTAAATTAGCTTGTCTAAATTAGCAACAGACCTGAGAGCAGACTATAAGCTACTACTTACTTTAGAAGGAAATGGTGAAGTGTGAACTTGGCATTAACTAGTTATTGTTATAGATCACTCATGTGACCTTCTGCCAAAGGTGCCTCTTTCCCTGTATTTAAAAATTGGACAATGTGTAATGTAACACGTCACTATCTTGCAAGCAAACTGTGAAGGCAGATTCCTTGTCATATGAGAGATGCTCAGAAACTATAGAGTTACTGAAGCTCTGAAAGAGCAATTAGATTAGATTCCCATGCGGGATTAATGCTGTGTCTCTATTTACCCTCTGCACTCCTTCAGTCAACAGAGAGTCACACAAGAACGTGCAACTTTTAACAGTTTTAAAATGCAGATGGACTTTGTCAGCACACCTATGATCTTCATTCTGTTCCCTATATCAGACATTCATCCAACCTAGTATTGCCACACTACACCTGATGAAAACTCTGGGTAGGACCCCAACATCTCCTTGTTATGCATTTAGCTTGGCGTTGCACTATCTGTGTGACACTTGGTTTCAGCTAAGGGTAAAAGACAGTTAAGCTAACAAAAATAATTTCTGCTGTATATCCCATAGACAGGCCAAAGAAAGTGTACCTCACAGTACTTCTGGGTCAGATTCTGAACCAAAAGGATAAACTTTATTTTTCCATTAATCAGCAGTTGCAAATAGGAACATAGACATCTCTCCACAACAAATGACTGGCTCCACTGTTGTCCTTAACACAAATCTTATTTTAGGGCTCTGCACACTATACAAGTCTCATAAATAATTGATTACTTGGAAAATCATTCTGTGATCCTTACTGACTTCAGTGGAAATGCACGTGAAACAGCAGAAATGGGAAATGATACATGGGACTGTGTGAACGACAGCCAAGTCCTCTCTTTCTATCACCTCCCCTGTCTGGTGTGGGTGACTTTTGTTGCTATCCACCAAAACAAGAGTTTTACATTTCAGTGTTCCAGCTTGTGTGTGTTGATATTTTGGCATATCACAGTTACTTCTGTAAACCATTGATAGATGTTTTAAAAATTGCAAATGAAGGGAATGAACAGCTTGTGGGAGGGAAAAAACAAAACTGAAATGAAAATAAGATGATTCCAGGGCACCCTGCCCTGCAGCGGGCAGGGCATTGCACAGACTGGCTCCACTGTTGTCCTTAACACAAATCTTATTTTAGGGCTCTGCACACTATACAAGTCTCATAAATAATTGATTACTTGGAAAATCATTCTGTGATCCTTACTGACTTCAGTGGAAATGCACGTGAAACAGCAGAAATGGAAAATGATACATGGGACTGTGTGAACGACAGCCAAGTCCTCTCTTTCTATCACCTCCCCTGCTGGTGTGGGAGGGAAAAAACAAAACTGAAATGAAAATAAGATGATTCCAGGGCACCCTGCCCTGGCGGGCAGGGCATTGCACAGCAAATGGCAGAGATTTTCAGAGACTCTTGCAGAGATTTTCAGAGCTCTTGATCATTAAAAATTGCAAATGAAGGGAATGAACAGCTTGTGGGAGGGAAAAAACAAAACTGAAATGAAAATAAGATGATTCCAGGGCACCCTGCCCTGCAGCGGGCAGGGCATTGCACAGCAAATGGCAGAGATTTTCAGAGACTCTTGCAGAGATTTTCAGAGACTCTTGATCACCCTCTTCTGATGGACTTAATTCGTCCTCCAAAGTACTGAACTGTATTAATAGCAAACATTATAATCCCCTATTGCCTTTTGCAGTCTTGTATCTTCCTAGACATGTCACCACTCCTGGAGCTGAAATGTCTAACGCTTACAACTTTCAACAAACATGATTACTTGACATTAGCTTGCAACAGTATTCCCCTAAGCTCTCTTTATGTTACACTCACATTTATTCTTTGCTACTCCCAACTTCTTCCCTCCACACTAGACAATATTGACGACCATCTACACTGAAACATGAACATGGTCCAAATTCTCAGGTCCAAAGCCATCAAGAAACTTATTGTTTTCTTATGCATCATCATATGCATCATGTCAGACAGTTGTTCTCAGTCTGGTGTGACTGTGGGTATATGTAAACATAATTATAACCTATTGAGAGATGGCTACATTCAAATCTAGTTTGAAAAAAACCAAACACTGACAATATTTGTATGGGTAGTAATAGGCACCACGTATACATCCTCTCAATGTACAATATGCACTATGTACACTATGCGTAAACTGCTGAGTTTACAGGGCCTTCAACATTTCAGAAATTCACTTGGATTAAAGATAAGCTGCTCTGAGTCCTTAAACTCCTGTGAATTCTTGCCTTCTGGAGAGTGAGACAGAAGCATGTTAATGCCACACATTGATTGCCCAGTTAAAATAACGGTGCCAGGACATGCAAGAGAACATTCCTTCAGCGTAATTAATCCAACCACATCGCATTTTCTAGTGTCTTCTGTGTTAAATGAGGACCAGAAAATAACATATCAGCTGACACAGAGTCATTCAGACCCTGCCCTGCTTACTTTTAAAATTTCTACTCCCTTGTTTGTGCTTTGACTTCAGTTCAATCCTAGAAAAAGAAATCACAGAATTTTTAAAAGAAATAAAAGACAGCAAAAGCCTTCCAAAAATTGTCATAGTGTAATTCATATCTTCACTCACAGATGCTTGAAACATAGGTGTCCACACTAAGATGATCACCGAGATTGCTATTTATACAATGGAGGCAGACCAATATTTCCAAAAGGCAATCTACCCTTCCCTAGGTGAAATGCTGTTGACCAACATCACCAGCACAACAGGGCTAACACTGGAAGTAGCTCAACACTCTCACTCCTCTGGAAAACACATCATTATCATGCATTAGCCTTGTTCAGGTAACCAAGACTTGGCTGTTTCTCATCCCAGGCAGAAGTCTGTCTGCTTTTCAGCTGCAGAGACATCCCCTTTGGAGATAGTGGCAAAGCTTCCACGGCTTTGAATGCAGAGCAGGAGCAAGCCCTTGACTACTGACAATATTTTTAATCTACCAAAATAAACCAGATAGCCTGACGGGATGGGAGGTCTGCCCTTCCTCTTGTCTATCCATCAATCTGTCTGGATGAGACAGAGCAAGAGCCCATTCCCTTTTGTCCTGACTAGACACGAGCAATAGGGCCATAAATCAGCTAAGTGAATAAGCAAAACATTTGGGAGTCACAGGATTTGGAGGTACTAGTGGTGTCACAAGTAATTATTTATGAGGTTCAGACAGTGGAACACACAGACAAGATGTGACGTAATTGCTGGCAGAGACTGGTGAGCAAAATTAGCCAAACTTGTAGAGAAGTGACAGGCAGTGAGTGGTTCATACAGAGGTGATGGGTCCAGAGGAATGGGATGTACCACAGACATGGACACAAGCACAGTAAATGTGCAGTACAAAGCCATTAGCATAGACAACAGCAGAAGACGTGAATCATCATTATAATAAATTAATCAGCAACAGATGCAGCATTCTATTTCTCTTTGTAATTCATAAAAATCAGGACAGTCCCAACACAGCAAATGTTCTAAATAAAATACCAAATTGTTATGTGCTCAGTCTCAAATTCTAGCTGTGCTTTACACCAGAGGACCCAGATACTCACTGAGAAGAAGGATCTCTCACCTAAAATTTCTCTTTTAGCTTTGGGTAGGCTTTCTTTGTTTATTTGTTAACTTTAAGTAATATTTTGAGCTTGAGTCTTCCCATTTCAGAAGATTTTTAAAGGAAAATATCAAAGACTTTGGTTAGAACCACAGAACTGAAGGCCAGCAACTGCAGAAGTGCAACTTCATGAAAACTCCTGAGCAGGTCACAGAGGGGGAACATCACAAGCACTCCAGCGATGAATGGAGGTCTTGTGTAGAGCAGGGAGGAATGCCCAAGGATTTTGTGTGACTTATCCCTTCGGTAAATCTATACTTGACTTGATCTTCTCTTCTGCCTCAGGGATTATGAATATAACATAAGTGATTGCTCATGCTGTCCACAATTTACGTATGCTTACATCAGATACTCTATAGCTATTTATTTTTTAAAGTGGCATGGACACAAAATGCCAAAAGGAGACACACATCATCTATATTTTCTAAGTGAATGAAAGCAATTAAGCCCTAACAGCAGTGAACAAGACAGTGAATTCACGTCAGGTATGGGGTGACAGCACGAGAACAGGTCAGTCTGTTCCTTTCGATGTCTACAACATCTTTCATAACTTCTTTCATAAATTCTTTCATAACATAGACACACATTTTCATACAGTCAATAAATTTACAGCAAATATCGCAGAGCAAATACAACAGAGTTTTACTAAATGTCCAGAAGAAAAAACGACATATCCCTACTTGCTGTCCCAAGAAACAATGACTCCAAGATAACAAACATTAGAAACCATAGCGTACCTGTGCTACAAGTCCCACGTTAGCTCCATGGGACAGTTAGGGCAGACCTTCAACAGCCTGCCATCTTACCAGGGAAATCGGTGTACGCTATAGGAGACCACTCCTCCCAGAACATTTACAACAATTTTCAGCCCTACAGCAACACAGAGTAACGTCTACCGTGACAGTGAAGGTAACACTTCATACTCCCAGCTCTGTATCACCTCCACACAAATCTCAGTGGTGACATGACCAAACTCACTACCTTACAGGTCGAGCTTCTGAGATGATCCTGCTTGAAGTCAATACTGCGTCTCCCAGGACCACAGTGGCTTTGTCCGTTGACTCAGACCACAGAGCTCTTCATAGCTGTTCAAGAGGTCTCTTGGTCACAGGTATGGAAGAAGCCGTGCCCCTTATTAGTCTGTTGTAAATGTCACTAAGTGGCAAAAGAAATGATAAATTCTTGTCCCCCTCACACCTCTCTACTCTCCTAGAAGCTAAGCCTGTGCTCAGTAGCTGCCCAGCCAGGATGTCTCTATACTGAGCTGCATGCATTATACACCCATGCTTCCCACAGCACCAGGAGAGCTGCAATTGAACCCAGTGTCTTTGGCAAGCCTCAAACAAGGCAGTGGGCCAACTTGGTCAGATGTGACCATCAGTCAAGGCAACACTGGATTTCTAAGTGCAAGCTGGGTCAAGACTTTGTGCCTCAAAGAAGGACAAACATTTGTGCAGATCAATGGCTTGTCCAAAGAAGGGACAAGCTGTACATCCAAGTTTTGTAGGACACATCAATAGACTGGTTCTCAGAAGCCGTGAGTCCTTAGAAGATCTCAAATTTCCTTAGAGGACAAGTAAAAACAGTGGATTATTGCATTTGTGTATGGGGCAACCATGCCTGGGCTTGGCCTTCATAAGCAGAGTCTTTCAGTTTGTGCTATTCTGAGAGGTCTGAAAGAAATCCAGTTCCTCCTAGAACAGCTTCACTGCTATAGCCAAAACAGACATCTCAATTTGCAGTCTTTCCTTCCAGCACAGCCACAGGCTGATCCCTGTTCCCATGAGCAGCAACAAGGCCACTTATTTCCATGGACAGGTTTACCCTAGAAGTGCAAGTGCAGCATATCGTGCCCAAAAATCTTTTGCTTCCAGTCTGCCCTTGCAACTTGTAAACCTTCCTTCCTCTACCCAGAAAGCTCAAATGGACTGAGCTCAATTGGAAGCAAAGGTAGCTCTATCTAATTCCTGATGTTCACAGAGATGGCCAGTCTGGGACTGAATGCTATCTTCTCCCAGCAGCACTACATGCAGGCAACAAAGCCTGCTCAGTCTGGGAGTCTACTTTCATTCACTTCTGGATGAGAGCATACAATCTTTTTTTCCTTTGCACTGTGTGCCATATATTCATATTAAATCCTCATGTTCAACTCTGAGATGAAGGGCTGGCTCCAGAAGTTGGCAATGGAAATATTTTTATCATGGTGACCATGGTTCATATGATGTCTGGGCTGACAGAACCAGAACAAGGTTTTCCTCTGGTTTCCCATCAGGAGATTAGAGTTCTAAAATCTGTTGGTAACAGGGAAAGGAACATACAGCAAAAACTTGGTCCTGGAGCTAAGACTCATGTTAGGTTGGATGAAGACAGAAGAACCATGAAGGGCACCATTTCCACTAGTCTTAGAAAGATGATCTTTCAGTTGAAAAGACACTGGTGGTAGCAGTATGATCTGTCAGCTGTTCTGATCCAGATATCAAAAACTTCTCCTTTGCAGGGCTGGGGATCACCAGTTTAATCAACAATTTAAAAGATAAATGTGAAAATGAAATTCTGGAGTAATTTTCTTCATTCCTTCTTTCTTTTTGACAGTTATTGCTGTTGACAATATTTATACCTTCCCAGTTCATAAGAAAATAGTGTCAATAGAGGAAAATGTGATTGTTCAAACTGATGTTTGGGCTAAGATCATTCAGTTCTGCATCCCTTGTTACCTTTGCAGTGATATAAAAGTAGAAGTAATTCCAAAGTCAAATGTAAACAATTTGAAAGTTAGCAAGCCAAGAAAATAAGACAAGGATTTTCCAGCAGCAGATGGAAAATAGTAGGAAAATGTGATTGTTCAAACTGATGTTTGATCATTGATCATTCAGTTCTGCATCCCTTGTTACCTTTGCAGTGATTAGAAGTAATTCCAAAGTCAAATGTAAACAATTTGAAAGTTAGCAAGCCAGAAAATAAGAACAAGGATTTTCCATCTGCTGCTGGAAAATCCTCTCACTCAGTAGCAGACACTGTTTTCTAGTAGTGTCCTAGTGGGTTTCCCACAGCCCCTTCCCCCACCTGTTTTGGCCAATGATCATCCCACGGACACTTCCTTAGACATTAGTCTTACTGGTCCAGGGCAGCAGTTATGTTACTTTGTTGATCGGATGCTGTAGCCTTAACATTAAGTACCTTTAATAAAACCAGTTGCTACACAAGTCTCTAAAGACAATAACACTTCATGTAAGCCATGGGAATGCTCCTAGAGGAAGCATTTACCAGCTTCTACTGAAACCTGAATTCAGCTCTCATCAACTGCAGCAAGAGCCTTCCACTTAGCAGAGTTGGCCCGACCAAAGGACCTGAGCTATCCAGAGCCACAAGGCTTACTGCTGTTCCCCTTCCTGTGTACGCTCCCTTTCCAGTGACTTGTTCCCCACTGAAAAGTGCACTGCCGATGCTATTTAGTCTCAAAACGCATTTAGCTGTTGGGATCTGCTTGAACAACTGAGGAACTCTTAATTAGATAACTCCTAATTAGATAGACAGTTGGGTCTAGCAAGTACCAGGAGAGCCACAATTCTGCCTGGGCCACTGAACCTGACCTGACAGGGTTTGCCTTATTTCCAGCCCTGGTTTTACAGTTTTCTTGGTGGGGAAGGAATGGAGACCTCTTCTACAGATGAATTGATAACTTAAAACCATCTGTGACAGAGCAAACTCCTCCAAGAGACTGACCTTCTTCCATTTCACAGCTTACTTTGCACCCGCCCACCCAAAAGTCCTGTTAACCCCTGCATGCCAGTGGATAAGCTATCACATACCACTGAAAACCTGCAAAATGTTGTAACGAAGCCTGGTACATTCAGCAGCGGTCACTGCTTCCACTGCAAAGGGGGCGCATTTTTCCCTGGAAGCAAGTTAATTCCCCTAATGAAAGGCAGTGAAGAAGTGTCAAGGGGCAACAGCTGCAGGACAGTTATTTCAGGACTGCTGAAATATATTAGTTATAACTGGAAATCAGTTATTTCCAGATAAAAAGTACATTTTATCTGGAAATTAGACTCTTCCAATCTTCTGTTTTCCCTGTAATTCCCTTCTTCTTTGGTATATCAGTATGAAGCCTACCCATTCTGACCGGTGACAACTGGCACAACTCTTCCTATAGACTGTTGGTGCCCACCACATGGCTCAGACAGAGCAAGAAGTGAAGAAACCAAGACCTGGTAGGTCCAAAAAGCTGACTGGATTTTCCAGTTCATGAACAGATGACCAAGGTCAAAAGCTAGTCTCATACTTGAGTAACTTGGCCAAGCCACTCCCTTCCCCCGCAGCATGGGTGTCCAGTCAGTCACTGCACTGAAGGTCAAGGTGATGTCAGTGAGGATTTGGGGCAGAAATATTCACAGATATGTAATGGGTCAAGATATGCAAAGCACAGTAGTCAGGTACAAAGTCTACTTTGACGTGATAGCAGTGAGAACCCCATAAACACTATACAAGAAAAAAAAAGTTGCATTCATTTAAGGATGGGCAAGGGCATGGAAAATGGAATAAAGGTCCAAATTCAGTGAAGACTACCAGTTACCTGCAGCCCTACAACCACCCAATGTACTATATCGAATCAGGTAAGTCTGACAGTACTGGTCTTGCTGGTCATGTAAATGGACATTCTTTTGGTCAGATCAGGCCACAGACCCAGTGGGTCACAGAACGGCATTTTGTTTTCACCAGGAGAATGCCCTGCACCCAGATGAGGAATAGTCACACCATGCATGTGGGTGCCCAAATGAGTCTTCTGGACTCATAATATTTGATTTTAAATAAATGTGATGCACCAAGTATTGAGTACTTGCAGCTCCCTCTGATTTCAGTGGAAGATGCCCATGCTCAGCCCAGTCCCTCAACACCAGATCATCCATGTTGTACACTCCAGAAGAAATTTAAGAGACTAAATTTAAGGCTTGAAGCCTTGGTTATTTTACCTCCCACACCCAAGATGCCAGTCTGCCCCTTTGTCACCAGCAAGCTGAGGTCTGTCATCACTGTTCACGCAGAGCCATGATTAGACCCACTGTAGTTAGCTGGACTTTCACACGCTGAGATGCAACTCAACATAAGGAAAAGATTAGAATCAGGGTAACGAACTCAAGAAGCAGCAGTGCTCTGCTTTCACACTGCAGATTAGCTCCCTCCTTCCCATGGTGTACAGAATTCCTTCTATTCCCTTGTTCAGGACTGATTAAATCTGTTTGCACCCATGACTGACCGGAGGGATTTGCTAGCACGATCTATGATTTAGATGGAGCCTGGCTGCCTATAAACCTGACATTCCTACTTTCCCCTTGTGATAGCTGCTCTCATGACTATCTTTCTTGCACGCTGCCTGGGCTGGCCAGTGTTGGAATTTACTTACCCTTTTCCATTCGGAAAAACAAAATAGTGGGCCACAGATGTTTAATATAGACTCACCAAAGATGCGTTTAAACATCAACATATTACCAGGCATATCACCCCATCAGTACTTTTCACCCCTCCTTGAGACACTGAGGAAAACAACATTTTAACCCATCGTGTGCTTTAATGAATGTAGAGAGTAAGGCATGCCTGCACCGCTTTCATTTGACCCTACATGGCCACTGGACTTTGCCAAATGTCTTCTTCTCCAGCTAAAATTAACTATGTATGTTCAAACCACTTTGCATACACCACCCCTTGGGCATGCAGAGGGTTAATAAAGCTCACTGCATGCAGTAAAAAAAAAAATTGTGCTATTCAGATGCCACAAGGGATTCAAGTTATAAGGCTTTTTCTCATTTCCCCCCCACCTTCAAACTAGAGCACATAACAAATAGCCCAGTTCTGATTTATTTATTTGTTTCCCCAACCTGCCAGTGGCAACAGATGAAAAAAGCCCAGTCCTTACACGACAAGCTATTTTAATATTTCATGCCCTAATGTGTCAGGAAGTTTGACACTGAAACAAATAGTAAAAAAATCTCTCTGAAACTCCAAGACGCCACAGCATGTGCCACCTTTCCGCTTTCTTTGCGGGACACCTGAACATGATTTTCAACATTGTTCTAGTACTGCCTTGCCTGACCTGTGCCTGCACAAGTTAATGTCTGGCACCTACAAAGGTGCCAGAGGACTCCCATCATTGGGAATGCTGTCCCATTCCTTCTGAAGGTTGTCCTCTGTCAAACTCTCTCCTTATCCAGCACTAAAATATCGGAATAAAATAAGTGTCATCCAGAGCCAGAAAATTATGCCAGCATCCAATAGAGAAA